CCCACCAGAGAACAACCCCCCTTTGACTGTAATTTTCCTTTACCGGCCCAAATCCTATAAAATGGCCCCACCCTCATCTCCCTTCACTGACTCTCTTTTCGGACTCAGCCCGCCTGCACCCAGGTGAAATAAACAGCCATGTTGCTCACACAAAGCCTGTTTCGTGGTCTCTTCATAGGGATGGGCATGAAATTTGGTGCCCTGACTCGGATCACGGGACCTCCCTTGAGAGATCAATCCCCTGTCCTCCTTCTCTTTGCTCCGTGAGAAAGATCCACCTACGACCTCGGGTCCTCAGACCCAACAGCCCAAGGAACATCTCAGCAATTTTAAATCTGGTAAGTGACCTCTTTTTACTCTCTTCTCTGACGTCTCTCACTATCCCTCAACCTCTTTCTCTTTCAATCTTGACGCTACACTTCAATTTCTCCCTTCTCTTAATTTCAATTCCTTTCATTTTCTGGTAGAGACAAAGGAGACAGATTTTATCCGTGGACCCAAAACTCCGGCGCCAGTCACTGACTAGGGAAGGCAGTCTGCCCTTGGTGTTTAATCACTGCGGGGACTCCTCTCTGATTATTCACCCGTGTTCCATGGGTGTCTGATCTCCGCGGGGACGCCTGCCTTGATCATTCACCCACATTCCCTTGGTGGCAAGTCATTTGCGGGGACGCCTGCTTTGGCTGCTCCCCACCCCCTTCTCTGTGTATACCCTTCTCTTTAAACTTCCCTCCTTCACTATAGGCAACCTTCCACCCTCCATTCCTCCCTCTTCTCCCTTAGCCTGTGTTCTCAATAACTTAAAACCTCTTCAACTCTCGCCTGACCTAAAATCTAAGTGTCTTATTTTCGTCTGCAACGCGGCTTAATCCCAATACGAACTCGACAGTGGTTTCAAATAGCCGGAAAACGGCACTTTCGATTTTTCCATCCTACAAGATCTAGATAATTCTTGTCGTAAAATAGGCAAACGGTCTGAGGTGCCTGACGTCCAGGCATTCTTTTACACATTGTTC